AGACGAAGTGAGAGGGTGAATCTGGCCTAACCCCCATGGTGACCAGATCCTGGTGACCGGATCCTTGGGGCAGGGTGGGATGGAATTGAAGGAATTGGAGGTGGGGTGTTCGTGATGGAGAGAAGATGAAGGGAACTCGGAGGCAGGGATGACGCGGGGGTGGATGACAGAGAGGGGGTTGGGGTGGGGGATCTGGGGCAGGCTAGGGGAGAAAGAGGAATGTGGAGAGAAATTTGCTCTCCTGGGTCATTAATTTGCAGCCCCCTCAGCCCTTCGCCCCTTCCTCTCGAGCGCCCTGGGTCAGATTCCCCCCCACTGGGCTGTGCCCTCCCTCAAGTCAGGATGGAGTCTCCAGGTCATCCAGCGGTCAGGTCCAAGTGGTCCAGGCCAGGGCAACCCCTTCCCGAAGTGCAGGAGCATCGCCCTGGAGCTCAAAGAAGATAGAGGGAGAAGGGACTCATTTAGGAGTGGGTGGGCACGCAGGCCCATTGTCAAAGCTCTGGCCACTTACACTATTTCTTCTTTGGTTCCTTGGAGAAAAGAAAGCAATTTGCAAAACTGGGCAGCAGCCTGAGGTAGATTGTTCTGACTAAAATTAGCACTGATGTTCTGATGAGGCTGGACAACCTGACCTGCCTGAGGTAGCTGAGGGGACCTGCTGCTCTTCATGGAGAAGACACCAGGGTGAGTGGGAAGTCGTTCAAAGCATCAGAGGAGCAGGAGCCAGGGCCACTGCTCCAAAGCCTGGCCCTGCACTGGCCTGGAGATCAGAAGGCAACCCCCAGCCCAGGTGGCCCCTTCCTGAGTGCCACTGCCCTGACTCCAACTCCAAAACAGGCATCTTGGAGTGAACTTGCCAAGGGAAGGAAGGCCTCTGCCAGTGTCCGAGCAGCACCCTCTCTCGGGACCTGGAATGTTTAGTCTGGCCAGGTGCCCACCCAGAGGAGACAGGATTACTGCTTCCAAATACCTGAAGGTCTGTCATGGAGAAAAATGCTCCGTGAGTCCTAGGAGGGCAGCACCGGCAACTGTGCCGAATGGGAAGTGGAAGAGGCAAGCCAAGGTGGCACCGCCCGTGGTGGGGTGATCCTAACAGTCCCAGAAAGAACTTGAAAGGCCAGAAATGCTTGAAAGAGTCAAGGCTATATCTAGAAGTGGTGAGCAGCCTGTCACCAACAGTGGCCAAACAGAAACTGGTGCCTTCCTTCAGGGGCTGATGTCCAGAGAATTCCTGCCCTGATGTCCTGTCCCCAGGCAGGCCTCAGGCTGGGTTCTGGCTGGCTCCCCAGAGTTAAGTCCTGGAGGAGAGTGGGGAAAGGTTGGGGAGTGGAGCAGAGGAGGGTACCAAGCAACTCTGTCGCTCTGTGTGGCCAACTGAAGCTTCTCCTTTGGGGACAGGCCCACTGTTCCTACCCACAGGCGTGATCTTGGCTGACTCCTACGAGAAACAGAGTGGTTGCAGCAAGCTTAGCAAAGGTGGGAATAGCCATGTCCCCACTTTGTCCCTGGGGAAACCTCCATCTGCTCACCAAGTCCTCTAGGCAGAAAGAGTGACAAAGGAAGAAGCTGTGCCTTCTCAGAGGGCCAAGGGCTCTCACTTCCTCCTGTAGGCCACCCTACCCAGGCTGGGCCAGCCCATCTCTGCCCAGCAAGACGGAGAGCTTTCAGCTTCCTCTGCTATGCCCTTGGCTGTCCTCTGTGGCTGGACCCTTCACCCCTCGGCTCTAGGAAGATTAAATCCATCTGCAGGCTGGTGGAGGAGACCAGGCAACAGGGCCGAGAGAAAAGGGGAGGCATAACCAGACATCTTTCCACCCAAATAGGTTTCGATGTAATCCAGGATTAAGGAGGGGGTACAAGAAGAGAGATTGGAAGCCAAGCCCAGGGCCCCAGGGGAAGGTGATGGCCAAAAGGGTTTTCACATTACCTCACCCCTCCTGGGACCCAGGTGTCCTAGTTCCACACACATGCACAAGCCCGTAAGGTTCGAAGCTCCTTCACCCCTTTGGAGAGGGCTGTGTGTGCGGACTGAAGCTGAATTTGAACCTGGAGACTGAGGCTCTTAAGATGGAGTCCCCATCCTAGCCTGGGGAGAGACATCACTGTTGAAGCTGACTTTCCACAGGAGCTGCCAAGGGCTGGGCTGCCTTCAAGCCAAGGCATTCCTGTGGGAAAAAGAGACTAGCCTGAAGCCGGGCCCTCTCCTACCTCTCACTCCTGCCACTCACCTGGGATGGAGGCTCACCTTCTCCTGGGGATTTTCGGCAGGGTGGCAAGCAGAAGCCACCTCTGTACCCACCCCCGGTCCCTTCCCAGGCTGTCATCCTATTGTTTTGGCCTGGCACCTCTCACTGCGGTTAGCTGGCGGGTGCCTAGGTTTCAGGTGGCTGGGGATGGAATCCAGATAGGGCTCCAGGATTTCTAGTCCTTCCTCTCTCATGGGTTTCTCAGCCTTGGGCCTCAGGGCAGGAGCCTAGCTAGGAGGGCTCAGGTCTCAGAAGCAAACAAAATTGCCAGAGTCCAGGGCTAGGTAGGGAAAATACATTCTCTATGGGAACACACAGCATGGACTCTGGAGCCAGAAAGAGCAGGTATGGATCACAGTTCTACTGTTACCAGCTGTGTAACCATGGACAGGTAACAGCATCTCTTAGGGCCTCGGTGTCCTCATCTGTAAAGTGGGAGAAATACCTATGTTAGCGTCGTAGTGAGGACTAAATGGGATTACGTATCTAATAGTACACAGAGTAAGCCTGCAGTATCAATTCAAGACTTGTGGCAAGGGCCTGATCAATGTTTCTGAGCTCAGTCTCTCTGCGGAGTGAGGACCAACCCTTGGCTGAAGCAATCAGGCAAGGAGTCCTGGAGTGGGAGAAACTTTGAGTTGAGACTTCTGCATTGAGCCAAGGCCTGGTGCTGAGGCCAACATACTGGGGAGACAGACACAAACGGCCACGAGACAAAGCTGAGTTCAGGGAAGGCGGAGAGGCAGACAGGGCTCAAGGAAGGGAGTGGCTACAGCCTGAAGGGCTGGCTACACACCAGTCCCTGTAATTCCACCCAAGACCCGGTTATCTGGAGCAGTGAGGAGATAGGGTCTTGGTAACAGGAGGCAGGAACCTGATCTACCCTGGCCGCTCTGCTCACCCTCCCCTCTGCAACAGTCCTGCCGGGGCCTGGAGCCCATCTCCTCTGCCCACTGCAAACCTGTCTGCCTTCTTCTCCTGCCAGGCTTTTCGGGAACACTGGCCCTGCTACCAGAGCCTCAGGATCCCCCATGAGTGCCTGCAGAGGGAGTCCCGGATAGCGAGGCCCTGGCTGGTCCAGGGGCGGGCACTCCACCATGCCACCCATCCTCCAGCGCCTGCAGCAGGCCACCAAGATGATGAGCCGCAGGAAAGTCCTGTTGCTGGTGCTAGGATGCAGCACCGTTAGCCTCCTCATCCACCAGGGGGCGCAGCTCAGCTGGTAAGGGGGAGGAGCCTCGGCGAGGGGGCGGGACCCGAGGGAGGCGCATTCCTCCCGCGGTGCCGGCCTGGGTTAACAGAACTGGAAGCGCCCCTTCCCACTCTTCCAGCTGCTAGAAGAGTCCTTCTACCACTAGGCTTTGCTCTTTCCCTCTGTTCTGAAAGTGCGTTCCCTTTAGAGCCACACAACCTCCCTGGGCAGGGAATGGTCTTCATGGAAACGGTTAAATGATTTGTTCGAAGTCTACAGTTAGCTGGGATTCGAGTCCTGCTCGAAGCCCTCCCACGGCAGGCAGCTGAGTGCCTCCGCAATGGAAACTACTGCCCTTGTGCTGAGCAAGGCCAAAACCCCTCACTTCTCTGAACCCTGGTTTCCTCATCTGTAAAGTGGGACTGCTGAGAATGTGTGGCCCAGCTAGTCACCCTGGTACAGGATGCCATGTGATGACTAACAAGCACCCTGACCCTGCTCCTGACTCACTGTGTGAGGCCAGCAAAGCCCTGCATCTCTTAGGGCCTTGACATCCTATTTCTACAAGGTCAGCCCCTGAGACTGGTGTGCATGGGCCCAGCCCCCCTCGTCAGATGATCTGCTGGTTTGAAATCCCAAACACCCTCGTTTCAAGAATGAGGAACAGAAAAGAAAGCTTCACAAGGGCTAGGATTATCATGTTTTTGTAGACTAGCGTGTTTCTTGAGCCTAGGACAGTGCCTAGCACATAGTAGATACTCAAATGAATGAATGAGTCTCCAGAGGCCTTAACAGAAACAAAACAAAACGGTTGCCACAAAGCCCTGAGCCACCCATCTACAAAGTGAGGAGCCAGTTAAAGAGTAAAAAGGAGAAAGATCAAGAGGATTTTGTGAATGAGTTGTCACCAGATGTTATGTAAGTGATTTTTCTCCTTTGGTTCTCAGTTTCTATGCCTGTGAAGTGGGATTCCTGGAGAATCTCCAATGGCCTTTGTCCCTTATATTGTCTGTTTCTATATAAACAAAGTACCTTAAAATGTAGCAGCTTGCCAGGCTCGGTGACTCAGCCTGTAATCCCAGCACTTTGGGAGGCCAAGGAGAGTGAATTGCCTGAGCCTGCAGGTTCGAGACCAGCCTGGGCAACTTGGAGAGGCCTCGTCTCTACAATAAATAAAAAATTAGCCGGGTGTGGTAGCACATTCCTGTAGTTCAGCTACGTGGAAGGCTGAGGCAGAAGGATTGCCGGCACCCAGCAGGTTAAGGCTGCGGTGGCCAGGAGCGGCCACTGCACTCCAGTCTGGGCGACAGAGTTAGACTCCAACTCAAAAAAATGAACTATCTCATAGTTTCCATGGGTCAGGAATCCAGGTGTGGCTTGCTGGGTACCACTGGGTCAAGATCTTCCATGAGGCTGCAACCAAGGTGTCTGCTGGGGAATGCAGTCTCATCCAAAGGCTTGACTGGAAGGGATCTGCTTCCAACCATATCGTTTTGACAGCCTTCAGTTCTTCAAGTAGAGTGAAGAACTGAGGGCCTCAGTTCCTTGGGGACTACTGGTATCTCCCTATAGGGCTGCTCTCAACTGGCAGCACGCTTCCCCCAGCATGAGTCATCCTGGATTGAGGGAGAGAGAGAAAGACAAGATAGAAGCCAGTCATTTGAGGATGTAAAGTCAGAAGTGACATCGCATTATTTCTGCCCTCTTCTATTCCTTAGAAACACTAATGAGTCCAGCCCATACTTAAGGGGAGGGGAATACCTTTCAAGGGCATTAATGCTCAGAGGCCAGCAGGGCTCGTGGGAATCATCTCAAAGACCACCACTAACCAGCTGGGTACAGTGGCATATGCCTATAGTCCCAGCACTTTGGGAGGCTGAGATGAGAGGTTTGCCTGAGCCTAAGGGTTCAAGACCACCCCGGGCAACTTGGTGAGACCTCCTCTACAATAAATCAAAAAATTAGCCAGGGACGGTGATGCGTGCCTGTAGTTCCAGCTACTTGGAAGGCTGAGAAGGAAGGATCGCCAGAGCCCAGCAAGTCGAGGCTGTGGTGGCCGTGATCGTGCCCCTGCCCTCCAGCCTGGGTGACAGAGTGAGAATCCAACTCAAAAAAAAAAAAAAGACCACACCCTCTTATGTCCTATGAGTAAAACCCATGACAGACCGCTCTATGGCCCACCCCACGCCCCTCAGATAGGGATGGGGTAAAGTGGCACCACCCTTACACCCTCCTCTCCGTGCCACACCCCCCCCACCGCGGGCTCTGCAGGTACCCCAAGCTGTTCCCCCTGAGCTGCCCACCGCTGCGGGACACGCCACCGCGCCCCAAGCACATGACCGTGGCCTTCTTGAAGACGCACAAGACGGCGGGCACGACGGTACAGAACATCCTGTTCCGCTTCGCCGAGCGCCACAACCTGACGGTGGCTCTGCCGCACCCAAGCTGCGAGCACCAGTTCTGCTACCCGCGCAACTTCTCGGCGCACTTCGTGCACCCGGCCACGCGGCCTCCGCACGTGCTGGCCAGCCACCTGCGCTTCGACCGCGCGGAGCTCCAGCGCCTCATGCCCCCAGGCACCGTCTACGTCACCATCCTGCGCGAGCCGGCCGCCATGTTCGAGTCGCTCTTCAGCTACTACAACCAGTACTGCCCGGCCTTCCGGCGCGTGCCCAACGCGTCGCTCGAGGCCTTCCTGCGCGCGCCCGAGGCCTACTACCGCGCGGGCGAGCACTTCGCCATGTTTGCGCACAACACGCTGGCCTACGACCTGGGCGGCGACAACGAGCGCAGCCCGCGCGACGACGCCGCCTACCTGGCGGGCCTCATCCGCCAGGTGGAGGAGGTCTTCTCGCTCGTCATGATCGCCGAGTACTTCGACGAGTCGCTGGTGCTGCTGCGGC